TGAAAGTCTTTGGTGCTACTCCAACAATTCTATATTTCCTAAAAAAGGTAGTCACTTCTCGATATTTTCGTCTTGAGTGTGCCAAGATTTCTCGAGTTCTCGTTTAACACCGCTGTGAAAGTGGAGGTAAATCGAGGGCATTAGATAAAAACGCGTTTCTCATCTGTGAAAAAGGTATGTGGCGTCCACCAAGACCATGCTTTATCAAAGCGTGCATTGCGTGAAAGGTTTGTAAAAACTAGACAGGTAAAATAACCCTAGAAGATCGGGATTGGTAGCAGAGACCGTCGTCAGATGATACCGACCTTTCTCAGAATGTTAATCAGAACGAATGAGCTCGAAAGTAGTCGTAGAGTATCGGGAAGAGTTACTGTGCCGAATTCGACCATTCACGACCATTTCATGGAACTTGCTTCGGTAGTCGTCCTAACGTAGAGTACTTCACAAACTGAGAGAGCGCAGCCTGTTGGAACCGCTTTTCCGCGTGCGCCATTCAATAAATATAACAAAAAGCAGCCTTTTCTGAAACGCATGGTAATGGAGAACGATGAATGGGCTGTGTGAGACAACGTAGAGTGAAAACGAAAACCTCTTTGAAAACGAGCAGATGCGTGTTTTTTAAAGTCATTTAGGAATATTTTGCAATTTTTTTTACCCCGAACTGTCTGTTGTGATGGAGCCTGGTGATGGGGAAATGAAGTGGCCTCCTGATAATCGTTCTCATCGTCGAGTTCGATGAGCCCTGCTCCGTGCCTTCCTTTTCAGGAATCACCCAGGATCGCGGTCGGCTCGCAGAAGGACTATTTTAAAAGCCCTATCTTAAAAAACACTGGCTTTTCCTCAAATTCCGGTCTGTCTTTGATTGACTCTGCTTTCTTCTATCGTCTAAAAGCCTTCCGTGCGGTCATTATTTCTATCGCATGAAATTTTACCATGCACTTTCGCTTCTTGCATGCGAATCATAGCAATGATATTGAATTGAACTGTTGATCCTCCACCATTCTCTGAGGTAATTATGCATTTTACAAATAAAAACCTACTTGTGCAACTGGTTAGTAGCGAATGATTAAAATTAATAAATCACTTCTACCTTAGAAGTTTATTAATTTTGCCACGCGTAATTTTGGGACATCCTGTATAATGCTTTACATATAATATTTATGAACTTATATCGTTTATGTTTGATAGATACATGTATCGTAAGTTGTTTTATACATTAGTGCAGTAATGCAACTTATATCGTTTATGTTTGATAGATACATGTATCGTAAGTTGTTTTATACATTAGTGCGGTAATGCTACCAGTAATGATAACAAAGATGTTCAAAAGAGTTCTTCAGGGTAGACGATCCCGTCAGCACTGGTGGAGCAGCTGTTGGCGACAGATGTGTATGGGTTTCTGAAAGCGGGAATCATAAGGGCACTATAAAGTTCATTGGTCACCTCAAAGGACATAGCAGTCTGTATGCTGGCGTGGATTTCGTGAGTATTTCCGATGGTTTCCGTTGTCATTGCTCTCTTCTGTACTTTTTTGAGATGCAAGCGATTAAGGTATATGCTATAGAAAAAAATGCTTGCGAATACTTGTCTTATTTTCATATTTTCAAATTCTATATACCAAGTCATTGCTCGGCAAACTTTTCCATATTATTCATTATTGGTATTCAGCACTTCAAACAATAATGATAAAAATACTTTTAAACTTATTGTCCTGTTTCAGTAATACTTTGCCTTATTGATAAAGGGTTGATGAATTTTTTCCAGCGCTTAACATAATTATATCCTAAGTAAACTATCCCAACTTCGACCGATATGTGTTCTTTCAGGACGAAATGGTTGGAAAAGGCACGGGTGTCTTCCAAGGCGAAGTGTTGTTCCAGACTCCGGAGAATCATGCCGGTTTTGTACTTCTCTCCGCTTTGGAAATCATTCCGCAATCTGTTGTAACGGTTGCAGACGGTCAGAATAGGCATCTTCCGTTGATTCAAAAGCAGGTATGGGTCTGAACGCAGCGCTCTTTAAATCTCAGCGGTAGATGTTTTTCGCAATGCTCAACATGTGTCCATGCTCTTTAGACGTGTTTGACACTAGAGATGTTGTGTATAGGCTTTTATATTACTTTGAAACATTAATGATTTCGTACCCGAAAAATTGGTTAAGGCTTCCGCAGAATCCCTTCGTGACATCCCATCACCTCCTGTGCCTCCTCGACCGCAGATGCAAGCGGAAGATTACATGATTGATTCTTTTACCGTAGGTAAGTTATCAGAAGCTGTCTCACCTGAGGGTGTTTTATTTTATTAATTTTATTGTCCGGGCACAGGAAAAATTCTTCCAAACTAACCTTCGAACAACGGTGAAGTTGGTGAGTTTCTCATACAACTCTCGATATCTTCTCCTATAGCCTACACATTTTATATGAATAGAAAGTATGAATAGAAAGATAGTAAAATAATGCTCACAGTGGGAGAATGATTAGACTTTTCCTTCGGTGTACTTGCTTGCATTCAAGTTTATCTTTTTTCAAACATCATCCAGATTCTTTGTCTCATCCTACTCATGGCATCTTTTTAATAGTTCCCAAAACACATGTAAGAAGAATCCAACTCAACTTCAAGGATTAGCAAAAACACCATTTTCAATCGCTGTTGTGCTGAGACACTCCTTTTTCTTCAAGTGGTCGATGTGTCGACCTTTCGTCTTTATTCATTGACAAGCTCATGGGAAGAATTCCGCATGTTTATATGCCTTTCTATCGAGTTACTTGGGCGGTCTTTTGAATTAATAGAGAAGGGAATGACTGATTTTCTGAACATATTCGTTTTGCGCTTTCTCTTTTATAGAAAGTAATCGAGTTTTATTGAATTCGAACTTTTCAACCACCATAGAGCCACCACATTATTTTATGACTTTGTTCACTTTTGGATGATACTCTCTAACATTTGTTCGTGAAGTTTTCAAGCACTGATCAGGTACTGATCGGCTTACTTCCAGTGCAAAATCGAAAAGTTCTCTCAGAAAAATTATAAGCTAACTAGTTTTACCACTTCAGTTAAGTTTTGGTCCTTTAGGAAGTTGTGTGGAAGTTTGTCATCTCGGGGCTTGTCGTATGGGAGTCATTCGATGGATTGGCGATGCGATGAGTGACGATCGTGACCACATTGAGCGAAGTGCAGTAGTCGAATTGGTTTGTTTATTGTCGGAAGCATTGGTATCAAAAAATAATGTATTGAACATCATCACCCTCTCCTTCTCTGTTATGCATTTTATTCTACTGGAAATGTTTGACTACATAGATGCAGTCGTCCTATGCTCCTCACTAGTCAGCTCTAAAAAGAGAAGGACACTAGGTCGCAAGGGCCTTTCAACATGAAATGATTACCGCCGGAAATGTTTTCGAATCCTAATCTGAGATCTGGATTCCAAATCGGCTGAATGCTTTTGAAACGAGCTCACGGAAGCGTTTCTCCCCCTCTGATCCCCCCTCCCCCTCTACTGACTACCTACGACCCTCCCTCACATTTTAGATACGACTGAAATGTTTTCCAAGCATTTCTGACTCTCGCCTGCTGAATAATGGTGCAGCTCAATTAGAGCAAGGAAGGGATAGCAAACCTTTACCTAAAAATATGCTTTGAAAGCCTTGAGAAGAGGGGTGTTACGTCATAAGATTTAACGCTCTTCAACATTTTATCTGCGCAATGTTGTAACAGAATCGTGATTTAATCGTGTTTGGTTGCTGCGACATTACTTCAACACCATCTAGGCTGCAACGGGAGGTGGTGAACAAACGACCTCCTACGAGGAGTACAAGCTGTGAAAGACTGTTCTAATGAACCTCTTTAGTCATCCAGTGGTAATAATGACGACGAACCCATCACATTGCTATAGGGATTCCGTGCCTCCGTGTATAATAGTATATAGAGGATCCAAAGGGAAAGATCTTTTCATTCTCTGGTTCCGCCCATGAACTTCAACTTGTCGTGCAGGTAGAAAACTCTTAGCCTTTCATTGTGCATAAACAACAAAATATGCTCCATCGGAACGAATATCTCCTACAGAAGTTGAAAGGAAGTTCCACAGTTAGTGTTAGAAAAAAAAAAGTTATCCTGGAATCTACAGAAGTTGAAAGAAAGTTTCACAGTACATGTTAGAAGGGGAAAAGTTATCCTGAAATGAATATAGGAACCTCATTTCAAGACAGCTATTTCCTTTGAATGGCGCTCGAATCAACAATGAGGGCTTGATTGAGGGTAACCTCAAAGGCTGCTTTCATAGTCCTCCGGCGTGCCAGCCGAGTTAGTGCTAGGAGAAGGGAGGGAGGCAGACGGTCGATTGACGCGGTCGCGTCGCGCCCAAGCCCTTTCGAAGGGTTAGAAATAAAGAAAAAACAAGATCAAAAACCATTGCATAAGCCCTTCAAATGCGAATGCACATGGTTTGAGTGGCGTTCAGTTGTTATAGTGTTTGTGGGATTGCGTACGTGGAACGCGACCGCTATAGAAAAGCTTTCTAGGTTGGGAACTCTACTGGTTATCCGTTTCAAGTTTATGTATGAACAAATTTCGTGAATCTAACAGTAAGAGCAGAGAAGGTCATTGGTTTAGAAACCTTCATTGCTGATCTAAAGTGATGATTTCGATGTTTAGGATGAAACGTCTCCATCTGGTTGGCGTCCTGCCTACGAAGCTCCCATGTCAAGTGCAGCTGATATTATGAATGGTGTTCTTGTGCCAACGTCCGCTCTTCGACGAGATCGACGTATTGACCACAGCGCTGCGTATAGTGGAGCAGGCTCGCCCAAACAGTGTTGGTCGACTACTTACTTTTAGCTCTGGGGTACAGACATTCCTGAAATTTGTAGAGCCAGCGCAATGTTTACTTCCAGGCCGGTCGGATTTCGGTAGCATCGATAGCGGAGTCGAACCAACGAAATGTGAACCCTGGAAGATCACTGAAGATCTCGTGGGCCGCATGAAAGGCATTCAAGGACACAAGAATAGCTGCTATCTTGACGCTACATTGTATGCTATGTTCGTGCAAAGCACTGCTTTTGATAGGTGGGTAATTTTATTGGTAGAAAGAAAGAAGATGTTGTTCTCGAAGACCATTGCTGCCTAGGAGTATGCTCACATATTCCTTCCAGAGACTCCCTTTGCGAGAATGCGTATATCTCCTAAACAATATGATTCGACTTGCGAGATATTTAAATTAGCTTTGAATTGCAGTCGATGTGCAATTTGTAGCTTTTTCCTCCCGGTCAATTCTGGTACCAATTAGCCAATGCCGGGAGGAAGGCTGTAGTTGGTCTATTCAATAGAAATTTATGTGATTTGTGGTACATCATTTATGCCCTACAACCTCGCCGCGCATAGTTTAACCAGTCGGATCGCGTAGCTCATGCGTGATACCCCTGCTCTCCGGGTTGAACTCGGAGAGCAGGGGTATCGGCCTGTCGTTCCTTCTTTCCTTTCCTTCTTAGGAACAGAGAATTAGTAGTTGTCACTGACAGAACGGAAGACGGCCTAGGTAGGGAGTTTGTAGGGCTCAGAGATCATACCTCCTGTATGGCTAACCCATAGGCGGACGAGTCTCGATAGAGTTGTGGAGGTCGCTCCAATCGCAAGAGACACTAATTTTGGAAAGGAACTACTCCTGGCCCGCGGCGACAGTGGAATGCAGTTTCAGTCAGTAATCGCTTAATGTAGTCAGCTCTTTACGCCATTGCAGCAACTGCATCCAAGTACCCCTTCCATGCCAGCCCATCATGGCAATCTCGCACAACCTCTATTTTTAAAATTTTCGTGAGCCTTTTTTTGTGAATTCGGCTGATCTCCTTGCATTTTTCGCCACATGCGCACTCTTCTCTACCACCATTTCCGCTACGCAACTTGAGAGGATGCTCCAAAATCATCGTGAACGCATTTAATAATGTTTTTGAACGGAAGCTTAGATTTTGGTCATAGCTCCGCTCTCTTTGGTACCTGGCCAACCTTTTCATGCACGGCTTCGATCTCAGCCCTTGCTATAATAGATCCAGCGCGTATTCCCATTTAGCTTAGTAGTGCATATCCCACAAAGCTCGAAGTCCAGCTAAAGCCAAATGCGCTCAACTAACTGTGCTCATCCCCTCCTTACTCCATCTAAGGTGCTCAATTTTACCCAAGTAATGCCCGCTCCGCCNCTCTCTTTGGTACCTGGCCAACCTTTTCATGCACGGCTTCGATCTCAGCCCTTGCTATAATAGATCCAGCGCGTATTCCCATTTAGCTTAGTAGTGCATATTCCCACAAGAAGCTCGAAGTCCAGCTAAAGCCAAACGCGCTCAACTAACTGTGCTCATCCCCTCCTTACTCCATCTAAGGTGCTCAATTTTACCCAAGTAATGCCCGCTCCGCCTCGTGAGTGGCTGTTTTTAGAGTCCGCCGACCGGCTCCGCGAGCGCGCGCGCGTGCCGGCCAGCGGCGTCACTAGCCACTTGTTGTCAACACTAGCACGTGATCCATCGGCGTCCGGTGTTTTCAACAAGTGGCTAGCGAGCAGCCATTGGAGTTCAGTCCTGTCATTTACTATTATTTTTGCCCATCCTGCCGCCTGTTTCGATTACAAATTTGAGTGTTCTCGGTTCAGAGAAAAAAGGTTCACCCAGCAAACACATATACGCGCGTACACATACACATACGTGCATCGACAAAAAACAGGCGCATAACGTATACAGTAGGATTAGATATAAACGTAGCATAGTTTCTGAAGAGGTCTCATGAATACATTTAATGGACAAATATATTCACTTGACCACATACTCATCCGTTGCTTCGACATTCCATTTCGAATCAAATGAGGCTAGGATTTATCCCCAGTTCCTGCATATTTCATTCGATCTTTTTTCTACAATATTTCGCCGCTTCTTTTTTTTTGAGACCTTGTTGCAAAATGAAGCTCTAGTCTTTTGCAGATTACTTGAGCGACCAGCGACCAGAGATGACATACCACAATATCGGGAACTTCAACGTTTGCTGGCCTCTGAAGTAGTATATCCTTTGAGAAAGTGAGTTTTTCTCGATTTTCTTTATTATATTCTCGCCTGGAGCTTTGATTTGAATGTTGCTAATTTGTAAAAAAAAAAGGGATTCAAGTATGACGACAAAATGTTACCTGGATTTATCAAGTAGACACTTCCGTCCCAAGGGCGTGTTTCCTTTTTACTAGTTCCCTTTTGCTTGTGCAGTTCGCGCGCTTTCACGCTGTCAAACATATAGCTCGCAGTCAAATCTTATGGTGATGCTCGCATAGCCCAACCAAGTCTTCGATTTTTTTTTTGACGGATTTTTTTTCTTATGGGAACTATTATTATCTCATTATTATTGTTATTTATTATTATTATTATTATTATTATTTCTGTTATTTGGCAATTTTGTTTCCCTTACTTGACAGCAGCATTGCTAACTGTGTCTCTAGCCAATTTATGGGTGGTTCAAGCAATTTCTTTGTTACTACCTATTATAGTTCATATTGCCCACCGTCATTTTGAAATAACTTATACGGATTCAGGTTCCACTATGTCCGTGCTGATCACATCATGAAGGTTCGCGAATTGTTAGCGAAGTGTCTACCACATATGCGAGGGCTGACTAGCGAAGAGAAGGACCCAGAAGAGGTGCTGACGGCTCTTTTTGGAGAACTACTCAGAGCACCACCTTTGGTTGAATTGATGTTGGTTTTTCATTACTTATTTACGTACAGGGTGGTAACAATTTTACGCGAGAGCGCGATTTCCTCAATCTAGGGGTTCTTTTAAATCTGCTCTTTTCAATATGTTTATGATATATTGGCTTGTCCGTACAGTGTTCGCCCATTTTTGGATCGAGTTTGAAAATCTCTAGAAGATCTATTCCATATACTGGGCAACAATATCTCCATTCTATTCGATAGAGTTGGGCATCTTCTTGGAAGTTTATCATAATCTCGCAGAAGGTTCTAGATTCAGAATCGAAAAGCTAAGGTGCTTTTTGCAGTTCTCCAACGAATTGATCGATTTTCAGTTCAAGGATTTCTGCAAAAGCATAAACAGATGTAGTCCGATGGTGCTATCTCCTTACTATATGGGGTGAAGGACATCTCACACGAGCTCCAGTAATTTTTAACTAATGGCCAAAGATACGTGTTGTCTGGCGTTATCGTGGTGGAAGACAAAGCCCTAGGATTGGCCAGTTCTGGGCGCTTCTGGTTTATCGCTGTGCTCAAATCAACTAGCTGAGTACAGGGTCTTTCTGAATTATGCGACATCAGCTTTGGTAAATGATCCTCCAATCTTACCAGTAACACTGCATAATCTTCAGCACCTGTCTTCTGATGAAAAAATCCAAAAGTATCTGGAGGAAAATGCTGTTCACAAGTTCAACACATTGCACATGCTGCCTTTCTACAACCATGTAGGACTGAGTCTGTCGTCTCAAGACCGAAATGACTCGCGGTGAATCACAAATCAATGGACACTCGCGTTGCAGTATTGACCCGCCTTCATTTATTATGCCTTTTTCTCCTGCCAAGTTGCATCTATACATCTTGGCGAATTTGGATCGTCAGGAGAGCATGCTAGAAAATCGCGAATAGAGGAAGATAGTTGCACGGTCTGCCGCTATGCTTGGCGGCGTTGTCGCATATGTAGTTGAATGAAAGCTTGGAGTCAGATTGCTCTCAAATCTGATTGGGATTAATTTGATAATGAATATGGCACTTCTTGCTTAAATGACAAGAAAAACGAAGTTAATTCCGGCAATAGGGCGGCTGTTTGCGATCAAGTATGTTGTGTGTGCCTTCCAATGTCTGTTTCTTCTTGCTTTTGTTTGTTTTTTCTTCGGATCCATGAGAGCGCTGTAAAGCGTTGTCGCATATGTAGTTGAATGAAAGCTTGGAGTCAGATTGCTCTCAAATCTGATTGGGATTAATTTGATAATGAATATGGCACTTCTTGCTTAAATGACAAGAAAAACGAAGTTAATTCCGGCAATAGGGCGGCTGTTTGCGATCAAGTATGTTGTGTGTGCCTTCCAATGTCTGTTTCTTCTTGCTTTTGTTTGTTTTTTCTTCGGATCCATGAGAGCGCTGTAAAGCGGATCAGGACTTGCGCAGTGGTGAACGATACGGACTTCAATATGGCATAGAGAGACAATACTCTCAACGACATCACAAGGAAACCGAATGTGTCGTTCCCGGTTGTAGAGAGACAGCATGTATAAGATGTGCATTTCGTGAATAATATCTTGCTCCACCCGATTTGCGTTTTGCAAAGCACGGTTTAAACTTGAAACACATTACATAAACTTATGAAACACACTGAGTGATTATGCATAAAACAAGCTTCAAAGCATATGCTTCATAGCAATTGCATATATATTGCATGTAAATACATTGCATAGAAATAACCAATTAGAAAAAATCGCGCGAACTTTTTTGATTGCCTAATATATATCAAGCGCTCGCGCTAATTCGATATCACCTGATAAAGTACCTGCAGAAGTTTTAACCCTACAGATATTTGCCTTGGGGTATGTGTGTTTGAATATCGAATATAAAATATCGAGAATTGATATGTGGTCTTTAATTGGAAGGAAAGCACGCTTTGCAAAGGTTGCCCCGAATACGGAAGCAAACCCACTCGCTTGCTTGAGAAGGGAGAGCACCACCTTTACCGCCACGACGACCCTTAATGCCCTGCGGGCAATCGCGCATCGGCAATGCGGCACTGTCTCGCTGAGCTTTGATTGAGCAAACTTTGAGCGCTCACTATTTTTTTTGATGGACTTATTTATATTTGTATATTTGTAAATAGCATTCCGAACACTATCGTGTTACTAGGACTATTGAAACCTGAATATCAAACCCATTCCTGATGACTGCACGATCCAGACTCAGAACACCTCGTAAATGGAAGGTGATGAAGATTGATGCAGGGAATAAGCTTACTGCTTACGACTGGCCTACGAAACAGTTTTGAATCACATCACAGTTGCTGCTCCTAAGATTCCGTTTAAGAAAGCCCGGTTTGGAATCTCTCAAAAGCTCTGCGTGCCCGCGAGGTGACAGTTATTTCGAATGACCGTGCATTCATTTTGTCATGCG